TTTCAAAGGGTTGTTCTTTATAAAATGGAATTCTTGCTTGCAGAAGTCCTGTAATAAAAGCACACTAGTGATTATAAAACTTGGCTTACCTGCTAGCAGCTATGCATGTCAGTTCATGTAAGCAAGGTGGAGACACTAAGAGCTATGTGTCCCACGAACATGAACCCACATGGAAGTGAATCATGAGCCACATGACTGACTACTGTACAGTGGCAGTAACTTCTGGTTTGTTCTAGAGTCCAGTTCCAAGCCTCCTCTCCACTTAATCTCTTCTATGTCTTTATTTGTTCTGCTTGACTTTGCTATTTTTCTTAGCATAGGAGAGTGTGCTTCATCAGCAGTTTGCATGGTCATATACAGCAGTACTTGAGATCCTGAGATGAGCTTTAAGAACAGAAGTATTATAAAAATGAAAGTGTTCCTCAAGCTTGCACTCTATTCTTCCCCATCCCAATACAAGCTCTTCCTCCTGTATTTCTTGCAGCTGCACAGTCCTACAGATTTGTGTTTATACATGCAAAGCACATTAAATGAGTTCATACAAACATTTGTTCAGGTACAACAAAGAAAAAACTGCATAATAAGATGCTGATGTGCACATCATTATTTGCCAATCAACAGGCAGTTCCCTTGCCAAGGATGCAGTATGAGTGGACACACATGCAGTCATCCTCCCACAAGAAGTCAGGATTACTCATTCCCAGTTGCTGATGACAAACATTTGGGCATCAGTGCTACCCATTTGCTTCTGAGCATCAATACAACTCAGTGTACTTCTCCCAGTTTGGCCCACAGAAAGGGTCACTGAGCTCCGAGATTAATACTACAGAAAACTGTACTTCTTACTTGGGTTCCAAGAAAAAAAAAATTAATATCAAGCCAACACAAATGTTCTGAAATGAGTAAGTATTGCCTTATGGACTTGTGGAACATCACCCAGTGCTTAGAGCTACCACCACAGCTACAGAAATGTAAAGTTTTCTTCTGTATAACTAGCAAACATCAGTTAGGGGATGGTATACGCATTTATTTCACCTCTCCTTCCCTGCTCCTCTGTGTTTAAGCCTTTTCTATCTTCTCTGCTGTCACTATTTCTGAGCTCTGATTTTCTACTAAGAACAGCTTTAACAGAAAAAAAAATAGAAACAACAATATTAGGCAGTCAGTACCTTGCAAGGACTACCAGGAATGCTGCAAAACCAAACAACCAACCCACCTCTATCAGCAATAATGGGGCTCAGCAAAGGTTCTGGAGAGCTTTCTTCCACAAGGGAGGGGGTGAAGAAAAGGGGTTCTACAATTGCTAGGGTCCTTTCAAGACACACAGAAATGTAAAGCCAAAAAGAGCACAGAGTAAGAGTACGGCTGCTGCAATCACAGCACTTCTATTCCCCACAGCTCGTGCTGCTCTGCCTGGCATAAGGAAGCACACAGCAGCAGTAAAGGTTTCCAACGTGGTCTAATATTTCTGTGAAGCTCTTTCCTGTGTAAGGTGTATTTGCCTAAACAGCAAGATGTATGCACAATGCAACACGCAGTGTTTCACTGACATGAAAGGAAGTAGAGATTAACTACTGTGCAATGTTTTGAAACTAATAAATTAGAAGGTGCTTATTCCCTCCCCCAGTAATTTCAGAACCACAGTATTTTCAGAGCTAGCGACAAAAAAAACAAGTATTTTGGGTAAAATGAAAACTTCAACTAGATACCCAATGCTAGTGACTGCATTTAAAACTGAGGGGAAGGGAAGAAGCAAGTAAAAAAAACCAAAACCAACTGTAAACCCTCCAAAATGACTAGTTTAAAAATGAAATGAAAGTCACTGAGTCTCCTTCTACATCATTTACTCTCCTATGTGTCCTGTTTTAGGTCCTACAGATACGAAAGGTTCTTACACAACTATTTTTCCTGAAGGACATACTGAGCTCAGAGAAGAAAGCAATACATATCAATATTTCCTTCCTGAATATTCTAATTATGGCTTCAGAAGTCAGGGACACAGAAGATATGGATGACAAGCTGTCCAAATAGGTGAGTAAGCAAGTGACACTACCCCGTTAGGGGCTAATTAATTTGACTACCTCTGTTTATTTGTGCAGCTTACAGCATGAATAGAAGGTCAAACAAGAAGTAATGTACTGATGAGTTCTTCTGCTAGACAAACCTGTTGTCAGCTCCTTTAAAACACAAGAGATTCATCTTCACTGTGTGCCTTTGCATGCTTGACAACTGAAATCCATCTTATTTCTCCATTTAGACATGAAAGCAAGTCACTGTGGCAACTAAGGAAAACATAAGAGTAGTTTTTAACAGCAGCTTTCCACACTTCTCCACTTTTGGTTTTTTGCTAATTGATTTTCATTTTGTCGGATGATTTTATCTGACTCCAGTAAGACAGAAATTACACTTCAAATATGATAGTGCTCATGCACTGATTTGCAGTAGATTAAGAGGTGTCAAGTTTTTAGGATTTACTGAAAAAAAACCCTAAGTATCTGCTACAGTTGGTTCTCCAAGTTGTTCTTATTTCAGATGTTTCAGATAAGTTACAGTAAAAGTGGAAGTATCACTGACAGAGTGTTTTGATTGTCTATGGCTTAATGATGGTAACTATAGGGTTCAGCATTTATGGATAACAGTCAGGAGGAAGGCCAATAAGGCAGATATGGTGGGAACCTGTTAAAGAGGCAGATGAAATACTTCATAAGCATGTGGGAGAAGTCTCCCAGTCACTAGTCCTTGTTCTTATGGAGGACTTCAATGTTCCAGATGTCTGCTGGAAATTCAATACAGCATATAGGAAACAGTCTTGGAGGTTCCTGAAGTGTGTGGAAGGGAACTTCCCGATACCACTGCAGCTTCAAACTTCACTGCTCTATACCCTATCACACAAACCTGCAACTGCAAGACATACAACAGAACTCAGTGTCCCCACTGAGCACTTCTCTTAGAGGATAAACCCAAGTTATTTCTTAATCTCCCCATATTTCGTATATGTTTACAAAATATGAGGTTATATTACTCGTATCAGTTTGTGTCAAATCATTAACATAAACCAGGAAAATCCAGGTGCTTGTATGTGAACAGAACAGCTTTACTATTTCAACAGTGTTTTCCTATTTGAGGTGCTCTGCATTACCCCCCCCCCCCCCCCCGACCCCTTAATCTGACTTTCTGTTCAGCTTTTGTAATACTGGACTTTGTATAACAAAGTCCTAGTCTGTGCTATTTAGATAAGCCATTGCTTTTCAGATGATCTACCTTGGCTACTTAAGAAAAGTTAACACCATCAAGACTTCCAAAATCTTTTAGGATTCACTGACTTTAGAAATACCATGAAAAGAAGTAGGAGGTAGTTTATTCAAGTCAGCCTCAGGAACATGGCTTCTCCAACATGGGAAGGAAACACCAAGGCGCCAGGACATCAAAGGAGGGCAAACCAGACAGTTTAAAGGGAGAGGCAACATGTTTACTGTAGTCAGGGAAGAGCTGGCAGCTTAGAAGTCATCAAAAGCTCAGCTTCTCCATCAGGAGGGAGCAAAATTGCATTATGCTCAAAAGATACCAGGCCATGACAGGAGCAAGCTGTGACACCCTCTCTGACCCCAGCTGGGGGCTCCCATCCAAGTCCCAGGAGGGTAGAGTCTTATTTATGCAGGATTCATGGCCCAGACCCCATATAGCACCAATCTGTGACCATGGGCCAGGCTGCTGAGCAAGTCTACAGAGAGAAAGAAAGGTAAAAATTATAGAGACAGGGCTGCCGAGATGAAAGTCACTAGCAGGATCTAATAAGGAAGACTCCAACATGGAATGTTATAAAACTGTAAAGGGGAAAAGCACCACAGCGACGTTAGCCAGGCTAGTAGTGAACCATTCAGTCACTGGACCAGTACCAGTGGAGTTTATGGAAGACTTGTGAGTATCCAGTCCCAAGATCTGGGCCTCAGAGCTGCAGGTGTCAATCTTTTCCCTCCTGACTGGTGCCCATCAGGGTGGTGATCACACTAACAGCCTAATGGCTCATTAAATTGTAGCTGTCTTTTGTGGGTGTGGGCAAATAAATATTTGTTTTATACATTTAACCTGTATATAACCTATTTATAGAGTCCTTTTGCAGCTTGCTCAAGATACCTGAGAAAACTGACCCAAACACCCCACAGAAGTGCTTAGGCCACAGCTGGCTTGGCAGTAAAGTCATTAGAGATGATTAGCCTAGAGGTGATAATGCTGATATACAACTATTTACTATAAGCAGCCTAAAGAGAGAGAAAATATATAGTGACAGATGCTCTATATAGAAGCCTATGTTTCAGCTCTCTTGAAAAGGTTTTTCCCATCCAGACAGAAAATTATTTCTTTGGTTTATACACAAATTATGTTTGCTATCTCTGTTCGTTTCTATGAGTCCTCAACTCTCTCTGCTGACTGCACAACAAAGAAACCATGGGCTTTCTGCACCTACAGCTGGTGCCTGCAAGTCTCCCATAGTACCTTGGTTTATAGAGAAAAAACTGAAAGTCATATAGGAGTAAGTAATGGACATTCCCCTCCAAACTGAGCACAATTGGCTTCAAAAACATTTGCACATTTTTGGCAGCCATCTCCCCTTCTCTGCTTTCACAAATAACACTCCAAGAATACAGACAGCAGACTGCATTTTTGAATGGGAAGAATAGGAAAGAAAACCCAACTTTTTTCAAGAACTATTGCAGGTTACCATTTCTCCTATTTTCCCCTGACATATCAGGCACTACTGATTTGATACATCAATGCTCCAATCCCACAAGACACTTCCCACATTATTTGCTTCTATAAAAACTGGAAATTTTAAATTAAAATAGCTTTAATTAAATAGCAAAATCTAGGTCAACAGAAAGCAATCTAGTATAAACTAGTTTACACCTTCTGTATTACTGCTAACAGCTAAAACTGTTAACTCACTGCAGCATAGAAGTAATAAGAATAATTTAACACTTGAAAAAACACAGAACAGTTACCTCAGGAAGTGTTTCATGGTGACGGTTTGGTTTCTGTTGTTGGAGCTGTAATCTATTGATCGCTGATGAGCTCTGCTTTGCAGGCGATATTAATGCTGTAAAAATAGAATTGAGATGTATTTACCAAGAGAAAAACAAAGCAGTGTTTTAGTTTGCTAAACTGCTCTTGAAACAAACATCTGTGGAAATACATGGGATGGATGCTAAGAAATCTCCTGTCAATAAGAACAAAGTGAAAAATCATGGTTTGCTCACACTGTTCAGCCTGAGCACATACTTTGACCAGACTACACTACCCATGTCTTTTTTATCAGACAAGCAAAAAGTTTGAGTAGGAGTACAGAAATAAGCGAGAGTGCTTGAAGAAAAATCTAGTTTCAAACACTTCTTGTGTTCTTCAAAAACCTGTCTTGTTCACAGCAGCTTCCAATTGGCATTTTCAAGAGATGTTAATTTCACTCTGCTGTTAGAAGCCTTCTGTTCTCAGAATTTACAACACCATTTGGTCTAAAAGTAGCATGTAAGCAAAGAGCTACTGAGTCCTGATTTAACTTACTACAGATGTCAGGTAATCAATTTTTCTGGTGACCTGCTTTATTAAGTGAGGTCTCACAATAGACATAGTTGATCAGGTTGTCCATCTGTTCTGAAATCTGGGGTCCTACAGTTAATTTTCACTGTGATTAACATTTAGTTCCAGTAGAGGAGGAGGAACAGGAACAATTCAGGAAAAAACTTCATAAATATAGCCCTGCTCATGTACTACAGACACCAGTCACCACCTCTTTACTTCGGATCTCTAAAAGGGGGTATTCACATCCAAGTGGCATTTGAATAAGAGATGCAGACTTCTCAGATTGCTGTACTTCATATCCTGTAAAAGGCAATAAAACATCTTTATTTGCTGCCAGAAAACAGGCTACTGCTACACATCTTCTACTGGGACAGCTTAATCCAAGACTTGAAGAGAACAAGACCACACTTTCAAAGTGAACAAAAGGCCTGAAAAGCCTGAAAGCTGCATAGTTAAGAAATCATTCAAGAGACCAGTTTTTACTAGCACTACATGCAGCATGCTCAACAATACCTAAGGGCCTTAAAAAACAAAAATCTAGCCTCTTTTGTCACAAGCTTATAAGAACCTCAGATCTATTTTTCTTTTTGTGGGACTTACCAGCACTGATGGGATAAAAATCATCTTACCCTACCTTCTTCTTACAGTCTTTCCCTTTTGTAACTTGCAAGTTTTATGTTATGCTGTTGCCTGCTGTCAAGAACAGAACAAGCATTTAAGTTCAGAAAAATGCAGCTATCTTGTTGGATTACATCACATATAGCTTGCTAAAAATACATAATCCCTGAACTGTGAAAGCTTCATTCATTTATATTGTTTTTGACTGGCTGAATCATGTTGCTGTCCCCTGAATACAGCTGTAATTGCTGCTGGCTTCAGTGACACCTGCTTGCAAGGGCAGAGAGATGGTAACATCAAACTCTGGTTCATTAATGAACACAGTAGGCAGGCTCCTAGCACTTCCTGCTACAGCTTTTGATAGGTCTTTGACGACAGCAAGCACAGGAAGCAGAGGAGATAGGTGAAAACTGGAGGGGATGTAACCTGCTCCCCTTCTCCAATCTAATAATTTGCTGTTTAAAAGATACAGTTTGTGAAAGACTCTTACAGCTGAGTCTCAGCTTTTTAACATCAATTTGAGCAAAGCTTCACCACAGTATTTGACCCATAAGGGCAGCAGTGTAAGAAACACACCAGAAGTGCCAGGAGCTATCAAATCAACCCCTCTAAAAATGTGTGCTGGCCTCAACCTCTGAGGTCATCTCTTTCTCGATTCTGATCAAGGTCCTTGCTGAAAGTGATGCTGCTTCTTTACTACTACTTTAAAGGGAAGAGAAGTTCCACTTGCCTGAACTCCAGAATTGGCTCATTCAAGTGTGGCATGCTAAGAGCTTTGAAATACTCCCCTTGAAGAACAGGTACCAGGTAGAGCCAATTATAAATTTGTTTTGAATGCTCATTAAAAATTAGGCTGTTTCAAAAACTGTATTTTTAAGAAGTCAACATTGCTGTTCATAAACTCCTGCTTTCTTCCCAGAAAGCTAAACCTGAAGGTAGGTTGTTGGCTTTGGTTGCAAAGAAAAAGCATAACTGACAAAACAAGCATGACAAATGGTTAAAAATGCCAATTTTGGATCTCTTTAAAACCCACCCTTGAAATTACAGGAATAATTCTCCTCGCTCTCTTTATTTTAATTAAAAGAGGGCAGGAGTGGAAGTCATCATAAAAACTTTACAGCAGAAGTCTCGAAGAGACAGAAGTCAACATCAAAGCCGCCCAGCTTAGAGAGGAATAGTTCATCCTGCAGGCTTCAACAGCTACTGCCCTACAGCACAAGCACAGCCAATAACAAGGTCCATAGAAAGGCTGCGGTCTCAAAAGCAGTTTCCTCCACTCAAGCACAAAGCAATCAAATTCCACCTGACTTTACCAAGAAGGTTTCAAGACCTAGAGGCAAGACTTCCAGCACAAATGAAAGCACAGACTACACTGCTGTCTTGGTTCATAAAATAAAGAAACTTTGCTTTAATGTCTGGCAGAATGGTTTTGTAAATGCTGTCATCTGCTATGTACGTGGATAGAAATGAATGCCACACTCTGCAATTCTTGCAAGAATTCACTTGTGTGGATTCACACACACACATGGCAGTAAGCTACTGACATCCAAGTTAGACTGGGAAGCCAAATCAGAAGGTGGGAATCTGCAGTCATCTTCAAACAAATAGGACTAGAGGTCAGCATTCCCCATTTCCATACATCTCCATAAGTGATCCTCTGGGGGAGCTTGGTAAAGATTCTCTGTGGTGAAAAGTGTTTCAAGTCTTTAAAAGATTGTTACCACAATTCACAGCTAAGTTCAACTATTCATAAACCTGTAGAGCCACAAGACCTAATTTCTGCTAACCTTTTTTCCTCTCAAAGTGTAACAGATTTCTTCTAAGTGAGGAGAGAAAAAAGCAACAACAAAAGAACAACAAAAAAAAAAAAAAAGAAAAAATTCCATACAAAATAAAGCACTACTCCATCTTACTCTTGGAAAAGCTGTTACAGCATCTCAGTGAACAAGAGCAGCTGTAGCTTTGGACAACACTTCAGTTTGTCAAAAACTTTCAGTAAGTTGTCATTAAGTGTGCTCAGAAAAACACAAACTAACAAACAAACCCAAAAACCAAACCAACAAACAAAGACCAACCAACCAACCAAAAAAACCCACAACAAAAGCCCCCAAGCTTTGTGGCCAGAGAGAGGGATTTGGTTTCCAGATTCTTGTTTTCTTAAGGAAAGAGTTTCCTCATTAAGTTGGATGTCTGCAGGTCAGGAAGGCCCTCAAAGTCCACTTGTGGGAAAGGAAGACACATGTGAGAAAATGGTTTCTACAAGTGACAGATAACCAGGGTACTGCATGTTTGCAGGCTTGCTGACAGAAAAATTACAACAGTTAGAATCATACAATCATAGAATGGGTAGGGTTGGAAAGGACCTTAAGATCATCGAGTTCCAACACCCTGCCATGGGCAGGGACACCTTGCTCTAAACCATATTAACCAAGGCCTTGTCCAACCTGGCCTTGAACACTGCCAGGGATGGAGCATTCACAACCTCCCTGGACAACCTATTCCAGTTTCTCACCACCCTAACAGGAAAGAATTTCCTCCTTATATCCAACCTACACGATCTAGTTGAGAATCTGGCGCAGTTATGGAATTGGGGAGACTCAAATACAAGTTTCTGAAGACTCCCTGCACTTAAGAAATACCACTTTGTCAGAAAGTGCCGGACTTGCAGCAGGACGGCCAGAGCCAGCAGGTACCTGGTGGGGAGCAGCCTGCTGGCCCCAGCACCCACCCACCACTCTGAGGGCCTGTCTGCACTCCTACATGCTTTCATTCACGTGAACTTGCAGCTGGTTTTCTGCAGCCTAAAAAGAGTGTTCCAGCTTTAAGCTATACACACATTTTCTCACTGAGGAACAACCTGCAAGGTACTCTCCCTGTTCTCCTTTTGTGGGCAACTTTTCAGCCTTTTATGATTAAGCCGTGAAGCTGGGATAAGCCTAAAGACAAACAGGTTTGACTTCATTCACTAGCTTTCACTAATCCCCTAGAAGAACACAAATCCACCACTGAAAACCTCTTGGCCCAATGTTTAAGGTTAGCCCTTTGGCATGAAAATACTCATATTTTAAGGCTTCACACTGAGGATGATTGAGCAAGAATGCAGTTTGGATCTCCCATACACTCAAGTTTTTCAGCTTGCAGGATTTTATCCCATACCACACCACTTAGACAAGTCAACCTCCTCCCTCCAACAACACACCCACATACCCATTCACTGCCAATTGTTTCATCCAGTTTATCTTAAACCAGAGAGGAACTTCCCCTCCTAAAACTAGCTGCAGCTTTTCCTGAAAGAGAAGCTGTACTACTACAATCACATAGAACAGCAAAACCATTGCAAGATCTGTCTCAAAATACAAATTAAGCTTTCCTTATAGAAACATTAACTATTTTAATCCTTGTGACTATGCTCTTTTAAGTTGTATAGCAAAACATGCACAGTTAACTGAAAGGTTAACGGTTGCTGAAAGCTGAAAGAAGTCAAGAGTAAGCCTTAAAAGTCACCTCTACTGAAGCAGAGGGTTTGCTTTCTTGTCTTCAAGAAAGCTGCAGATACAGCTGAGCAAAAGAATTGTATTATTGAATATAAATCACCGTATTTGCAGAGTAAAATATAAAACCAAGGTATTTCCCCCCCCAATGTTTGTCTTGCAAGCTAATGACTCACCTGGCATACTGCAAACATTTTTAGAAGGTTTATATTCTAATTATGATGAAAGAACAGCTCTGCTGAAGAGACAAACCATCAACCATTAAGATGAGCAGTCAGAATATAGGACTTTGTTTACATGGATCATTAGATTACCATCCATCCAAACTTTCCTCCTCGCAAAAAAAAAGGACATATGTTTGAAATAGAAAGCAGTAATTACATCAATCATCTTGAATGCAGAGGAGGGAAAA